TGGGTTAACACAAAGCATATTCTTTCCCATCCAGACACTGGAAGAACCTTGACAGCATCACTTGATCAGTCTGGGGTAGACAGGTATAGCATACTAATGGTATTTAATCCTGTTCTGAAGGATGATCTCATCCAGTAATTCATGTAAATGTTAAATAGGAACAAAGAACCCTGATGGACCTCATAACATCTCTCTCCCACCAACACTGACTGAAACTGGCTGCAGAAGGAGGAGAACCACTACAACACCACGGATCCGTTCCTAACTTTCAGAGCCAGTCCAAAAGGGTACCATGATTGATAATATTGAAAGCCATTGAGAGATTAAGAAAGACCAGGATGAATGCACTACCTCCATCTCAGTGCTGTCAAATGTCATTTATAAGTACAGCCAATGCCATCTCAATGTTATATCTCAGCCTGAAACCTGACTGAAAGAGATCTAGATAGCCTATTTCCTTCATGGTCCTCTGGAGCTGTAGACCAACTACCTACTCAACAACCTTCCCTAAAAAGGGAAGGTTGGAGACCAAAGAAAAATTGGCCAGTTGGAGCCAGGGATGATTTTCTGAGGGGAGCCAGCAGAATCATACCCTCCCTCACCACTGCCTAGATCCAACCCCACATAATTTCCTGGGGGCCTTGGGAGACTAGGAAGGATATGGATTTTATTTAGATACTCAAGGATCCTGTCTACTTTCTCAGGAGCAGTAGGCTTGAATGCTTCCCATATAACCATGTCAGACAGTGCCTCTGTGAACCCTACAGGACTACACAGCTGGTGTCCAATTCAGAGTGGATCTAAACAATTTTATCTGACAGATGCCTCAAATAGTCTCCAAAGCACCCGTACAGATGTTCCTCTGTTCCCTTGTTACCCATGAGGGACTAGTTCAGTTTGAACAGGTCAGCTATCTACAGTTGCAGTAAGAGCATGAAAACAGTTGTTTTGTTGCTCTTACTGCCACAAGTAATCTTTAATGAAAGTTCTTATTTCTCTTTGATTGGATTGTCTTCTGCCAATTTGTCTCTTGGAGGTCTGGGATTTCTGAGGGAGACAGAGAGTCCATATAAGTGTGATTTTGTCTAAGGCCATCACTGCCACCTTGTTCCAAGCAGTGAACCATACATCAGAGCCTCAGGAACGACTTCAAATTCCTTCTGAAACCCAAGAGGGTCCATAAGGCACCTGGACTGACCTGTTGAACAGGTCCTTTCTTCCTGGGGCAGGGAGCAGCTGCAAAGAATTCCAAGGCTACTTGGGAGTAATTCGACCATGACAAAGGAATAATGGTAATTTTCTCCCAACTCCAGATCATGTCACTATTGCTCCAAGACAAATACCAGATCTGCCATATGACCTCCACTGTGAGTTGGGCTCTCAATAATCTGATCAGGCCCCAGTTGTCATGGCGACCATTAACTCCCAAGCCACCTCCAACCCTGCATCTGGTGAAGGCAGATTAAAGTCCCCTAGTAGTCAGGCATTCATCCTGAATGTTCATAAAGTGCAGATTTTTACAAGACAGAAAATTTAAAACAAATTAGTTGATAACACACTAAATTAACACCATCAACTTCTTCCCTCTCCCTCCCCCACGCCTCCAATTAAGGTGTGGTAGGAGAAAATCATTTATACTGTCTTGTTTGGCTTGTAGAGAAAGTCACAAAATCTATCTTGTTATTCTATAAACCAAGAATTTGGCATTTTCTTCTAGAGGAACATAGAAACTGCTTAAAACTGCTATTTGGCTCTGATTGAGAAAAGATACTGCTTCTTGTGTTACAGTTTTTATTTTTTTTCTCTTGGAAAGGTTATATTGCTGTATTGTTACAAGCAATTTAGTTGTGCTTCTAGATGGTTAATGTGGGTAGGGCCAGGTGTCAGAACATGTTGGAGATTAATGTAAATAGGTTATGACTTTATTACTTTACATGCAGTCTACCTTTAATAAACTATTGTATACGCTTGCTCTAAACCTGTTTTTCTACAGTCATAGAAGCCTTAGGAAATACTTGAAAGAGCTGGACTGCTGCCAACTCCTGTTTTGAATTGAGAACAGCCATCTGGCATAGTTCACCAAGATACCATGGAAACTAAGTGCTAAATAAAAGCTAGCTATTTAAGTTTAGAAAAACAAAATCCTCATGGAAAGTTATAACTTTTCATAATCCTGAAGTGCTGGTAAAATGCACAGACTAAAATAGCTATAGTAATGAAATGATTCCATTGTTTTAGAGTCACGTAGCATGAATTACAATAGATTGTCAGCTGGGTATGTTTTCTTGTTAAAAGAGAATAATGACATACATTTTCTTATGGATATATTTTTCATCTTCACTGCACGATGTTGGTTACTGTAATGGTAGAATCAACCCAAAGGAGCTTTTCATCTAACATATAAGAAGATATATAGGTTCTAGTTTAGGGCAGGAATGGGAGGTTGGTTGAAAAACAGCCGAATATAGCAACAGAAGGGAAGCATTTTAGCACCCTGAGCAAGCAAATAGGAGTCACTTCTACAGAGATGGAGAGAGGTTTGTGAATCTGGTTTAATCTTATCAGACAATCATAGCTTGTCAGTATTAACTGTGCCTTAATTCTGAGTGCTCTAGCCTAGAAAGAGGAGGAGGAGGCTTTGCCTATACAGTTCCACTGAGGCATAAGACTCCTCTCATATACATAGACTCACCAGGTTGCAGTCATAATCCAACATGTCTCCCTGCTCACTGTTTCTTAAAGGTTCTGAAACCCTATTCAGTGTCTACAGCTAGTTTCTTTCCACTTACTTTAAACGGGCAGGTGGTCATTGGGATAAAAGGTTTGTTGGCTATTGATATGCATATGTGTGGTTCTCTCCCTTGTTGTTAGGTCTGACCTGTAACTTAAAAGGACATAGATGTGGTGCTTTACACCACTGATCCTTTCAGATTCCTAATCAGATTGTCTCCATTTCAGAGAAAACATTTTTGTATGGAGAAGGACTGAAATGACTATACAATAGTTAAATAAATTTGTAAGAAGATTGTTCTTTAAAAAGCAGCATATGATATAATGAATGGGAACTGGCCAACTTCAGTTTTTAGCAACCTCTAAAATGCATAGTAAGTTAGTGGCCTGGTTTGTACATTGTATGAGGCCATAATGCAGTACATTTTATTTTTCATTTTCAATAAAGAATGCTTGAAATAAACCAGGGCACAGCACAATATATGAAGCCAGCCAGTATACTACTAATAATTACACACACAAACACACATTTTCCCCTTGGATCCCAATGCAGAAGTTATTCTAGTAGGTTACATTGAAAAATAAGTGTTTTCCTCTTGCATTCTTTAGCTTAGTTTTTTTACAGTACTGTAAACTTTTCAGAAATACAGGTAGTCCCTGGGTTAAGAACACCCAGGTTACAGACGACCTACAGTTAAGAACGGAGCCTATTGTAGCAAAATTTGAGTTAAGTACACAAAGGTTCTAGTTCATGATGCAATGCTACTTATACAGTATTATACAATGCTGTTCCAGCTTACATACAAATTCGACTGAAGGACAGACCTTGGGAACGAAACTCGTTCTTAAACTGGGGATTACCTGTATCTCAGTTTTTTAATTCAGTGCATCCAATAGTTTCAAATAAGTTATACACGCACACACACACACATATACATAGTTTCAAATGATATATATATATATATGTATATATATATATATATATACACACACACACACACACACACACACACACATACATATATACACATACATACATATACACACACACACA